TAGTGAGAAGTTTAACCAGGAAATTGACATGAATATATTTGGAAATTCAGTGCCCCCGGTTTGGAAATGGATTGGCAGAGATGGAGACTTCAGCCAGGCAAAACTCAGAATCTGTATGCTTCTGTAGCTGAATATTTGAATTGTTATATTTAACATTTTCAGAAATATGCATGTTGAAAAATCTCCTTTATTTATGCACTGGACTATGTGAGCTTCTTAATGTGTGTTTACCAGTTCTCCAGGATATGGACCGATACAGGCATCCTTTCATTGGGCCTGTATTAATTCCAGGCTTGTTGAGGCTCTGCAGTGACTGAGGAAATCAATTGGATGGGCCAGCTGCTACTGAAAATGCTCAAAGTCCCTGTCACAATTGGGTGGCAGTCTTGTGGATATCTGCCCATAAACATCAGCTAATTCAGGCAATATCACGTCAGCTATAGTTAGCATTTCAGTGCAATATGGGAAGCACTGTCACTCTCTCAGACCCCAACATACAGAGTGCAGTCAGATTTAATCTGCACATTGTCTCTTTGTAAGCCAGGGATCCATCTATGCCATTGTCGTCTCTGACATTCTCAGGGACACACAGCTTTGATGTGTTTAGGCCGTAATTATCCTGGATTATTTTCAGAGATGGTTTGTTTCACAGTAATTTATGAACAGATTAATCTATTTAACAGAGAATCAACTAATAAGCCATGTCAGCAGTAGTGTTGCTATTCATATGCCATAGAGTGCACAGGTGGTTTTGTGTTTTAAAATATAAATGTATTGGGTTGGCCAAAAAGTTCATTTAGTTTTTTCTATAAAATAAAAGGCATTTTTCATTTATACCAATACTGGTCTACCTGACTGTGGAGCATCATACAGTGAGAAGTCACCAGCACAAAACTTAGAAAACCACTTTGACACACTCCATACACTGACACAAATCTTTTTTTGACATAACACCTCCATACACTACAAATATTTTTTGTGTGTGTTTCAACTGTATTTTTACCTTTCTTGAAATTATAAACCATAATATGCTGAAAATGTTGCACATTTTCTTCCATCTTCAATATTAAAATGACTACATAAAAATTCAATTTTGATAAGTTTTTAAATGCACATAAATATGACCACTATCACAATACAATTTAACAATATTGTTTCAAGTGAAATTGAAGACAACTAAGCACTACTAGAGCCGTCTTCCGGAAAAAAAACAAGCAAACTTTTTGGCCAACCCAATATATTCTTTACTATAAGAGTGAATTCTAATATGTTCGCATATAAACCTGCTTCTATAATAGAGTATTTTACTCTAACTGAATATTACTGACACAATATAGTTTATGGTAAATATTTATTTTTTACTATTTTTAGAAATGAACCATACTGAAATTAGTTGTTGATCTGTAGCCCTTAGTATTTGCTTATAGGAGGTCCTTGTTCCCTTAGTATTAAAAGGTCACTTATATTAATTATAAAAACAAGCACAAGAAATTCATAGGAAATAGTGGAAAATATTTGTTACTTAATCTTGACAAATAAAATTTAAACTCAAAAGTAAATATTTTATTTTAACATGATTTAATCTATCATTGTAATTATGTACTAAATATTAGAATGTACAAAGACACAAACTATAAAAACTCAAGAAAAATGAATAACCTGAATAGCCCCCTATATTAAAAAATTTAAATTTGTAGTTGTACAAATTTGTAGTTTTAGTCTTTGTAGGTTCTTCCCACAAAGAAACCTTAAAGATCAAATGTCTTCAAAGGGAATTCTACCAGACACTTCAGGAATACCAATCTCACAGAAACACTGCTGGGAATTTGAAGAGGATGGAATACTTCTTCACTCATTCTATGAGGGCACCATCACCCTGATACAAACACCATACAAAGACATTCCAAGGGAATGACAGATACCTCATGCACATAGATGTAACAAATTAACAAAATTTTAGATGAAATTCACAATACCTGGAAAGGATAGGTACATTAAGACCAAGTAAGGTTTATCTCAGGAATGCAAGGTTGGTTTAACATTTGAAAATCAATTAATTGACCCTATTAATGGACTAAATCCAAAAACTCATAGGATCATATATGATCATCAATAAATGCAGAAAAAGCATTAGACAATATTCCATCATCAGACTAGGACTAGAACTAAATCATAGAAATAAATGTATAACCTGAACCCATAAAACTTCTAGAAGGAAACACTAGAGAAAACCTTTCTGACCCTGAATTAGGCAAAGATTCCTTATACTCAACAACAAAAGCATGATCCATAAAAATAAGATTGGTTCAAGTACAGAAAAATTCAGAACTGACATTCCAAAGACACAACTAAAAGAATGAAAAGGCAAAGCACAAACTCAGAAGATATTTCAAACCACATATCTGACATAGGGCTTGAATCTAGGATATATGAAGAACTCTCAAAACCTCTATAATAAGGAAGCAACCTATTAAACAATGGACAAAAATCTGACTTACACAGTTCAACAAAGAGTGTAGGCAGAGGGTAAATAAGCAAATGAAAAGATGTTTAATATTATTCACTATGGGAATGCAAATTAAAAGCACAATGAGATACCACCAAATAGACACTAATCTGACTAAAATGTACACAACAGACCATGTCAAGTGATGACAGGTGTGTGGAGCAACTAGAACTCTCATACGCTGCTTGTAGAAATGCAGAATAGTACAGCCACTTTGGTAAGGAGGCTGACAGTTTCCTTCAAATTTAAACATACACCTACCCTATGTTTCAGCCATTCTACTCAAGGTTATTTGTCCAAGAGAAGTGAAAGCATATGTGTATACAATGAGTTGTACATGAATGTTTCTAACAGCTTTATTTGTCACGACCGCAAACTGGAAACGACCCAAATATCCATCAACAACTGAATAGAGGAACACATTTTAATATTTCTATGTAATGGAAGACTACTCAGCCATAAAAAGAAATAAACTATTGATGCATGCAAGAACATTAATGAGTCTTAGTTATGCTGAGTGAAAGTAGCTAGAGAAAAAGGAAAGTGTAGTTCATAACTTAATTTTTATGAAATTCATGATGATGCAGAGTAACACGGTGACGGAAAGCAGATCGATGGTTGCTGGGTGGTGGAGGACGTGCCCGGCAGGGGCCTGTGCAAGTGTGAGATTACAAAGGGGCACCAGGAAACTTTTAGGGGTGATGGATATGCTCATTTCCTGAGTTATGGTGATGGTTTCCCAGGTACATACACACATTGAAACATCAAATTGCACATTCTAAATGTGTGCAGTTTATTCTGTGTCAATTATACTTCAATAAAGCTGTTATAAATTTAAGATGGTGGAGCAAGAGTGGTACACTGAATTTTCCATGAACTTCCATGCTTAAAAGCTATTACATTTTAGTGAAAAGTCAACAAAATTAGAATCAAAAGTACAGGTTACTTGTAATGTCTAATTTTAATTGTATTGTCTGACCAGTTTCTTTGCTCAGTTAATTATTTATCCAGAGTTATGATTACTTTTAAGGTGTACTTTTGTGTTGGACTAAAGAAATGGTTTTCAAACACCATCATGCACAAGAATACCTGTGGGAACTTGCTAGGCATGCAGATTCCCAGACATCACCCCCTGAGGATTGTGAATAGTAGGTGTGGTCTTGGGGTCTGGGAACCTGCAAGTTCAGCAAGCTTCCCAGGCAATTTTAATGTACCTATCCACAGACCACATGTTGGAATCACTTCTTAGCAGAGTATTGTTTACATCAAAATTGTATGAACTTAAAAAAATTATATGAACTTGGATGAGCCCAGTGGATTGCTGAAATGGAGTATCCTTGATCTGGTTCTACCTGTATGTACACCAGCCTATTAGAGAAGGCAGCTGACTTACTTGGAGGAGGCAGGAAGTTTGCACTTTGTGTGTTGGGTGATATTCATGGTGCCACATTCATTAGACAATAAAAAGTGTACAGGTACAAAAGATTAAAGTGCTATAAGATATTCCTTTCCTCCTTTTCTTCTTCTCCTTACTCCTTTTCTTCTTCTTCACAATATTCATTGACCTGCATTTGGCATTTTGTGTAATAATCATGGCAGCAGGAAGAAGGAACCATCTTATACTTTGTCAGGTACCTTTAAGAAATGACCACACAGTACGGGTAATCTAATTCACCACTCTTAAGTTTGACATCATGATGTGCCAGCAAACCTTCTCATAATGCATTTCTTTGCGCCTTTCTAGAGATAAATTTATGCCATCTATCAAAGCACAGCATTTCTTTACCTTCTTAAGTACTTATATAAACTGCCAGCAAGTAATATTCTGTGCAAATTTTTTCCATTAGAAATGGTGTGGGTAACAGCTGAGCCATCTGCTTACTGACCTGATCTCCAGAATAATCAGTGACAAGAATGCAAGACTGGCAGCTGTTGTCCTGGAGTTGTCCTAAGGCTGTGGAATCCAGTTTCCCCTTGAATGAGTTAAGAGAGTTGTAAAGTGGAGTTCATGCCTTCAGGGGCTTGTACAGGATACAGTGGCTGAGAGTTAACAGACTAGTCTTAGGGTTGTAAGACTGTGGGGTCACATACAACATGGCATGAGGCTTTGAAGGTAGGCACCCATTTTTCCTAGACTCTGCTGATCTGTCTCTTCTGAAAAAAAAAAAATAGCAGAGCTTTTAATAGAGCCAATATTATAGTCCAGATCTTGAGCATGTGTTTTGGTAAAAAATGTATATAATAGTTATAGAGAAATGTGTACTATAGGAGATTATAATGTAGATCTAAAAAGAAGAGTTAGAATCTTTCACAAAATTATAAATATATTTATGAACCTGAAGTATTCGGTATCAAACATACTTGAAAAAATGAAATTTTGGATACTCACTTGGAGAATCATAGATGTTTTGGTCACTCTTGTATCTTAAATTTATGTGGTTGAATGTTCCTTATTGTCATTTTAGTACTACATTTATTCTTTTGTTTTCCATAGACATGATGCCATTGTTATCTCAGGAACTGAAATGGCCAAACAAATCCAGAAGGAAATACAGCAGGCTGTGGAGGCCTGGATTTCCCTCGGGAACAGAAGACCTCACCTCAGTATCATTTTAGTGGGCGATAACCCGGCCAGCCATACCTATGTCAGGAAGAAGCTCAGAGCCGCCTCTGCTGTAGGTGGGGATGTGTTAGTTGTACTTGTTACTAATAATGTTTTCTGATTTTACTACCAAGCATAAGAATTATGAATGATAATTTTCAAATAAGTGTTATTTGAATAGCATTTATTATGATGATCAATTTTTCAATTATCCAAGTATATCTTCATTTCTTCTTTTGTTTAAATTTCTTATTGAACTAATTCAGTGTGATTTCAGATGCTATGTGAGATGTGAGAAGAAAAATTTACACTTAAAGTATCCAGTTGTTATTGCATTTGCTTTAATCAGATAATAAATCCGGCCAGTTTACTCTGTCACACTTGGCCTGGCAGTGGTGGTGGTGCTATTGGTATCTTTACTGTATTCAGATTCACTAATAGTACCTTCAACAGTTTATCACAGATAAGTGCAATTTGCCACCAAGGATACTGGGCTAAAGAATGCATGTGAGTCACAAGAAAACATCAGTTACTAATTGAGAAATCCCTTGTGATGATGCTTGGATCATTTTTATAGAAGAGCCTTTCCTTCTTGTGGGATGGGAGCAGAGAAAACCAATTACACACTGTGTGAGACACCATTAATGAAAAAACAACACAGCTTTGTTAGTAGGTGACTTTCTCTGCTTGTTTTCTTCTAGGTATCTGCAGTGAGGTCATTCTAAAACCCAAGGATGTTTCCCAGGAAGAACTTTTGGATATAACTGATCACTTGAACTTGGATCCACGAGTCAGTGGCATATTAGTTCAGTTGCCACTGCCAGGTATCTAATGCTTTATTATTATTATTTTATACTTTTTATTGTTGTTCAAGTACAGTTGTCTCCATTCCCCACCCCACACCCCAGCCATGCCCACTTCCCACCCTTGATCCTGCCCACTTTGGTTTTGTCCATGTGTCCTTTATACATGTTCCTGAAAACCCACCCCTTTCCCCGCCTTTATCCCCTCCTACCTCTCCTCTGGCTACTGTCAGTTTGTTCTTAATTCCACTGTTTCTGGTTACATTAATGCTTTTTTATATGACTGGTTTGGTTAGGATAAACGACCCTGTGTCATGACCCTGTAGGTAATTCAGCATTGTGTCATGACCCTGTAGGTAATTTATAACATCTGTTCAGAAGGGACCAAGCTATTATGCTAGCAGGTAATAGGTGACAGTTTCTGAACTACGTATGCTTACAGTGACTGCACATGGTGAGAGAAAACTATAGACATTGATGATCATGCAATGCTTGCTTTGCTCAGTCCTGCAAGGCCATAAAAACGACCATGTAAGCTGAAATCAGGCACAGTGATAATCGAGGGCAAAAATAGTGGTTGTTCTGTGGCCTTTAAAATGTTTTCTCTAAACATTATAAACTTCTTTATCATGGTTTATAAATGTATAAGGAAATGGATAAATAACAAAACTAATGTTTATCCAGCACACTGTCATTTAAAATAGTAAAACATTGAGAATTAAAGTATTTAACTTCTTTGCAAAAAACTTGCCAATAGGAGTTTGAACAGAACTTGCCTTCTTCTCATCATATAGCATGATACAGGGCAAGCATCTTTTCTGTGTCTTGGTGACCAGAACTGGCATACTTCTAAGTTTGTATCAGCTTCATTTTGTTCTTTGTCCTTTCAAAGTTGTGAAATGTCTCTGAGTTTCTTCAAAGTGAAGTTTTATGCTGGTGTCACTTCCTCTGGATCATGCTTTTTGTTACAGTACTTTCCTCATTGACGTCAGTGAGTTCCCCTTCTCTCAAACCCTGTGCCTGCCTAGCTCCACTGCTCAAAGGGCACAGTGTCAGCAGTCACCAATTTCTTGTGCAACCCACTTCCATTCAATGCAATCCTACTGAAGTGACGTTAGCTTGTTTTTTACATTCATAATTCCTCCCTTCACTTCATGCTGGCCTAGGTTTTGTCTGTGCTTAGCTGTCACCATTTGCAGATCTATTCCCATCCCATTTCAGTTCCAGCAACATCATCACATCTTGTCTTTTTGCTGTACTTTCCTCTTTGCATGCTAATTCCCTCTATGGATTATCCACTTTTATGAAACATCATGTGAATTTATCAGCTGGAGACATGGGAGCAATACAGTTTGCTGTCTGTGCTTGCCTGGAATACAAATGTGTAGTGACGAATCATTGATGGACTTTGAAAGAAGTGACATGTTGGTCACTGCTTGTGATGCTGTGTCTGGTTTTTACACAGGGAGTTATGGACAAAGGAGCCAGAAGCTCTGATGTGATACAGTTAACATACCACAATGACTGACATTTGAATGGTGGTGTTGGAGGGCTGGTATTATCAACTAGTTGTAGCTCTGAAATGTGTGCATTTTCAATTGAGCAAAGAAAAGACTGCTGGTATAGCATAGGTTACAGTAGTTTTGTGCAGTTTTGAGTTTCTCTGTAAGTTTTGACTTACAAAAAATAAAGGTGTATGATATTCTGCCTGGGATGTTCATATTGTATTAATATTTTAATTTCTCTAACAATATAACTTAATATCTTAGTATAACTTTTGTGCCAATTGAATTACACTCAAAATTCATATATATATAATTCTAATTCCAGTGTGGCTGCATTTAAAAAAAGTCATATAGTTGGAAAGGATCTTAGAAGTTATCAAGTCATCAGGGTTTCTCCCTGAGACAAATGCATGTGACAGATCATACTATAGATCCATCATATTAAAACTGCTACAGTAATTCATCACTTACTTTTAGAACTAGATATTCAACACCTTAATTTTATATTATAGGAAACTGAGGTCTATAAAATATCAGGAGTTTACTAACATCACAAATCTGTCCAAAAAATCTTGGCACTAGTTTAAACCCAATTGTTTGGCTCATGACAAAAAAGAAAAACAAAACTTTTCTTTCTAATGTATTTGCCAAGCAATCTTATAGTTTGCAGTTTATGAAGTTTTCCCCATTTGAATTTGTTCTACATTAAAATAAGTTATATAAAATGTTACAAATTTCCAAATAGCCACATTAGATTTAGTCTATCTTAAAAAATTATATTTATATCTGTGGAAATGTTAACCCTTTGTGGACAGTATTCCTCACTTGGTGAATTTGTTGGCAGTGCCACTAGATGGCACTGGTGATCTAGCTGTACTAAAATAAATTTCTTGAGGCCAGTTCACTTTAGAGGGTGAGAAGCATACAGCTAAAGGGACCATGCCGGTCACAAGTATCTGGATGCTTTCAGAAGGGACAATTTTCAATCTAGCTTAAAGCCAATAATGTACAAAATAACAGTGGCTAAAATGTATTACATTAAACATGTCTCAGGCACTTTACATTTATTAATTTACTGAATCCTCACAATAATCTTGTGGAGTTGGATCTTTTATTATGCACATTTTACTGATGAGGGATTTGAGGCCCAGAGAGACTAAGTAACTTTCCCTAAGGTCACAGAGCTGGTGTGTAATTGCACTGGGATGTGAGTCTTTGGAGCTGGTCCCCTGTGGCATTACTTTAGACAATTATGTTAGCTAGTGAATAATGCGTTCCTACCATGTGGCAGGTTTTCTTCATATGGATTATTTTATTCTAGCTTCAGAACAGCCTTATGAGTAGGAGTCGTCTTCTTCATTTTACAGATGAGGAGACTGAATCACAGAGGTTAAACGAATTGTCCATTACCTGCTAGTAAGTGGGAGAGCCAGGACCCAAAATCAGGCAGTCTGATTCCAGAATTTACCTTTTTAACTTTTATTAACCTACATTCACTGATTCTCTGAACTTGATGTGCACATATGTCTCAAACATGCACATTCAAGTTCCTAGTGCAGGTAGCTGCCATCTCGACCTGAATTGTTTCAGTAATCTTCTGTTCTCCCTTCCGTCCAGCCTTGTAACCTAATATTTTTATGGCTTTGCCATGCTCAACAATGATATTCCTATTATTATTCATAATTTCTTTTTGGTAAGGTTCAAAAATGATAACAGTGAGAGTAAAGACAGATAATAAATACACTGTTCCCCCTGAAGCGGCCTGTGTCTTATTTGAGTACTCATGCAGTGAGTGGAATGTGTTTGCTGGCAGAAAATTGCTGAATGGATGTATACAGTCTGAGTTTGTAGTCTGGCCTTAAAATTTACGGACTGTTATTTAACCGGCGGATCACTTTTTTTTTTCTCACTGTAAAAGGAGGATTGAAATAGACTTTTTTTCCAACTCATTTGGGTTATCCAGTAATAGAAAAAGTTGATTAACATAGAAAGTCATAAAGGAATGCATACTTACCTTAAAGATTCTATTACATTATAACATACAACATTTAAGTACTCATTTATTGATCAATCTTTCATTGAGGGTCCAGGACCCTTTGGAACCCACTGATTGGAATTTTTTATCATCTTCTGGCTTTAATTCATTGCCTACAATTTTCAGATGGAGGTAAATTTGAGTAAAAATCTGGCTGTGTTTTAGAAAGGCCTCCCAGTTTTCACAGTTGTCTTGCCCTTTCTAAGTTATTACTAATTCTTTTTAGTTCTCAAGCATCTTCCCAGAGCATTCAACTTAATTTCCATAAAAATAACAACTGTTTTCTTTTTACACTCTGTTGTTATTTGATTATATATCATTTTAAATTAAATTGCATAATTTACTGAAAAATAACTGGCCATACAGATTGGGATGTATACACAATTATTTCTTGATGATCACAAAACTCATTCGGTAGAGGCAGGAGTAGTTTATTAACTACTCTCTGATATTCTTTTGGCAAATTCTGGCCATCAGCCTGCAAGTTTTGCAGAAGAAATGGAACACATTAGTCTTTTCGATGGGTGTCTATGTGGAAGTGGTTTGAGGCAGGCTCTCCTGTCTTATAGGATTGTTATAAGCACCATTGAAACAATGAGTAAATGAACAAATGAAATGATTCTCATTAATTACACCTTCGTTTTCTATCATTTGGCTAATAATCTTGAATTTTGAATTATTTTATGATTATAAATCTGAGATTATTTTTTATAATTAAGGCAATATCTTAAGTAAAAGAAATTCCAAGTTAGAATTATAATTCTGATGTTGGAGAACAGGTTTGCGTAAGGACTAAATAGAACGTACAAGCAGTTTCCATGCACTAATTTCGGGTAGAAAGCAAAGGAAGAAGATAGATTTATAGCTATAAATCGCTATAGCTGAAGCAAAGGAGATAAAATGGAATTATTTAAAAAATTTAATTAGCCTAAAGGAGGGAAGCAAAAAGGGGGAAGATAACAAGGGAAACACATAGCAGTTGATAGCTTTAGTCACATAAAATGGAGTGTTTTAAGTAACCCAGTTAAATACTAGAGGTTGTCGCAGTGGGTAAAAAGCAAGACTCACCTGTATGCTGCCTGTAAGAAACACACTTCAAGAAGAAAGACAGAGAGGTTAAAGCAAAATGATGAGGAGGATATATCATGCTAACACTAATAAAAAGAAAGTGAAGCAATTACATTAATATCAGATGGAGCAATGAATATTACCAGGGATAAATAAGGTCACTCCACAGTAATAAAGGAGCTGTTTATTAAAAATAAATAACAACTTTAATTATCTATATACCTAAGAAGGAAGCTTCAAAATACATTCAACAAACACTAATAGAATTGTAAGGAAAATAAACAAATTGAAAATTATAATCACAGATTTCCATACTTCTCTCTTAATAATTGAGGGAACAAATGGACAAAAGATCATAATATAGATTGAAAACACAGTGTCATCCAATTTGACCTAATTGACATTCATAGAAC